ACGTGCATTTAAAGTTTCTTTCATCTCGGGCAGGAGGGAGCCGTGCCGGAGGCTGTTAGTGCTTGGTGAGCAGTGCTGAGGGTGGCCGTGAAGGAGGGGGAAGCTCGGTGTGGAGCATTCCTGCTGCAGCCCCCTTCCAGCAAAACAGCCTCGCTTTGAGCCTTTGGCTCGAGCAACTGGTTGCTTGCTGGTTGTTTTTGGGGTCTCTTCTGCTCCAGAAGGTGCTGGCCAGGCTGTCCCTGCCTCCCCCTGGCTGTGGGGCTGTCTGGAGAGGGGATTTGTGGTGAGGCACCTGCCTGACTCCAGACCTTGAGGTAAGGGCTTGCCTTGGGCTCTGCAGGGTCCCTTTTCAGTGCTGCTTCAGTCCAGAGTCAGGAAAATTCACAAATGCCCTGTGGTGATGGGCACCTGTGTACCAGGGCTATTTGTGAAGCAAGTGTTTACTCCATACCTTGGCCCCAAATGCTCCAAGGCCTTAGCTGGCTGTGAAAATTGTGCAGCCCTCTTAATCCTCCCCTGTTACTAGCCCAGGGTCTTCTGAACTGAGCTTAGGGATGGTTCCCCTGCGTGTGGAGATCCTTTACTGGATATCCCTGCAGTGTCTGAATGAATTATTGCATCTAACTTGCATTTGAGGGGGGGAAGAAGGAATCCAGCTGCTCCTGGCTGCTGGCTTTAGCTCCCCTGCTTTTGCAAAGCATCCCCTTGGGGTGCTTATCTGCAAGCGGCCAGGAAGATCCTAGCGTGATGCTGTGTCAGGAGGACATCTCCTGCGGCCCTGAGCACAGCGTGGGGTCTGTTGGCTCACCATTAACCCAGAAGCAAGGATGTCACCTGCTGAAATGCGAAGGGTGATCTCTGCATCCCCTTGCTCGCTCTCCCGGGAGGCGTTTCTCCGAATTGCTGACCCAGCCTGTCTCGTGCTCTGCTCGTGAGCTGACAAAGGCACAGCTTGAGCAATGTGGTCGCAGACCACAGTCAGGTACCATACGGCTGAAGACCAGCGTTTCTACACTGCGGCTTGGGAGCAAAATTAATTTTGTGGTGTTTCCTTCAGAATATAAAAATCCTTCTTGCTTCTGTAGCGGAGTTATTGATGCTGAGGTGACTCTTGCAGGGTGAAATATAAGCCTCTGATTGCATCATAGCTCTGACTTTTTCCACTTGCTAGCAGTCCGATTTGTGGTGTTACAGACATAAATTGTTCTGTATATTGTAAATACGTAGTACGTTTTAATGATTGTTGCTCTACGCACATATATTTGGTAATAGAGCCAATTGAAAACCACTTCAGAAAGCTGCTATTGATATTTTTGCAATAACCTCCTCCTCGGTGCCAGCCAATAAAAGATGCATTAGTTCTGCGTGTCCAGAAATCCAGCTCACAGGACTGAAGGTTCAAGAATGCTTTGCCTGTGACCCTTTAAATGAGAATGACTTTTCCTTCTCCATCCTTCCTATGCCTAGGTAGTGTAAGTATTTTAAGCATTTTCCAGCAAAATTCAGCACAAAGCTCTTCAGAGAGGTGCAAAACCGTGGGTTTACCTGAATCCCACCTGGGATAGTCATACAGAAGGGGCAAGCCCTGGATCTGAGCAGCTCTGCTTGGAAATAAGGAAGTGCCTAAGTTCCTGCTAAAATCCACTCAGGTGAAAATTCAGAAAGTGTGGGCAGGCTCAGGCATGAGGCAGGCATAGTTCGGTGTATCTGAGGCTCCTGGATTTCATGGCACATGATGTGTGCTGTGCCTCCGAGAGGCTGCTCCACTGATAGCAGCCCACTGGTGGGCTAAATAGCAGAGAAATGCCCAGCTCAGGCAGAGGAAGCCTGCTTTTTGGTGCTGAAAAACCCACATTTGGGGTTGCTACAGGTATTTCTTGCGTTTGGGTTATGCAGGGGCTGATGCAGCCCCCTGAGTGCTGACTTTGTGAGGGTGGACCCAGAATGGGGTGCTCCCCATGCTGCACAAGGGGTTCACAGCCAAGGTGTGAATGGAACTGGAGCCTCCTGACAGGCCCCCTTCCACCCCATTGCACCTGAGCCAGATGGGTCTTGTCAGCACGATGCATTTCCACTCATAAGACAACTTCCATCCCTGACTTTTTGCTGGGGGTGGCAGCTTTTGTTATTCTTGGCCCCGGTGCATCCAGTGGTTGGGTTGCTGCTGGATTCCCTGAGTGAGGGCTGCATCCATGAAGACCAGGAATATATCAGAAATGGACCTCACTTAGAGAAATCCCATTGCTATTATCTTGGGAACCCACAGTTTGTACATGCTTGAACTAAAAAATTTAGCAACTTAAGCAAAGTTCAGTAAGCGATCCTCAGCTATCCTACTGGCAGGTGGGACTTTCTCACTGCAGTGTGCTTTGCCCTGTTCGTGCCATTTACTTTTCTGTTGAATGCTGCTCAGGGTGGATAATGGAAATCCATTACCTCTGTTATAAACCAGGACTAAAATATTTCACTTTGCAAATATTACCGGGGGCTTTCAAACAGCGCAGTGTTTAGCTCAGTTCTCTGGAACCATAAGGCTGGTGGAATCCTTTCCTCATGAAAATGGATTTGCATTTACACTGGGATGGATCCAGGCTAATTTTAAGCTGCATGTGCCTGTGTAAAGGTAGTGGTTTGAGGCAAGTCCTCCTTTATCGCTGTGTCCGTGTTTGTGCAGGAGGACTCGCAGAAATCCATGTGCTTGTCAGAAGCCGGCTATTAGCTGTACTTGATCAACATGGAACGGAGGCAGAATAAGATCCTACATCCAGGCAGACCTGGCTGGGTCTCTGGTAGGGGCACAGACAAGGCAGCCCAAGGTCCCTCCCAGCTCTCTTTCTTTCAGGACGTGCCCAAAGTCAGGCAGTGGTGAAGCAGGTGTTTGAACCCATCTCCTGACCTTTACTTTCCCACTCCAAACCCTAAAACCATTCAACTCATTGCTTGATGGCATGTACTGGATCAGAGGACATCTGGATACAGCTAGAAGGTGTTTTCCTCCCACTGCAGAGCTGAAGGAAACCCCCACACCAGCACGAGCTGCCCCTTGCTTCACAGCCCAAGGGTTGCTGGCAGCCCCTTGCCTGCCGCTGGTTGTGGGATCCTCCTGCAGCCAACAGCAAAGAAAGGTCTGAGTGGGATGTGTACGGGGCTGCAGTGGCTGCTGCAGGGAGAGCTAAGTAACGGGGCTGTGGCCTTAAATAGATGCACTTCTGGGGGATTTCCAGTTCTTTAAAATGTGTTTCATCACTTTTTAGACACTGTTTTATCATGTCATTTTGGGTGCCTATGCAGTACTGTTTCTTTAATTTATTTTTTTTTTTCCTAGAAGAATTCTGAAAATTAGGAAGAAGAAATCAGGGCATGTAGTGACAGCAGCCTAAGCCAGTCCCAAGCCTACCCTTTTTCCCTTTTAAAACAAAAAAAGGGGGGGGGGGGGAAGGGGAGAACTTTGATTACAGGTTTCCCACCCAACAGCTGACTGCTCTGACTGCATTTTTGCATGATTTTGCATTTCCAGTGCTCCTGGAAATGCTGGCCCTCCCAATCAAGCAGAGCCGGGGTCCCATGGCAAGCATTTTGTAATGGCTTGCCTGTGTACTGGTGAGCACTTCTTGGTCTCTGTTCACTCCTGAAGATGGAAATATGCCCTGCATGCACGTGGATGCTGACTGTGGGGGCTGAGGCTCGTCGAGGCTGTGAGCTGGAGCAGGGCCTGGCCCCCCCGGAGCGGTGCTTGTGCTGTTTGCTTGCTGCATTTCATCTCCTGCACTGTTCTGCACTTGTGGTTTTAACATTTGATGACCTAGGTATCTCAGAAGGCTGTTTTGCCTCAATAGGCATATGATGAATTGATCTTAATTAGCTTGTGGAAATAATATAAGCCTGAGCATTAAGCGTGCTTTGTTAGGGTTTTGACATCTTCTTTTATCTGTACATCTACAAATAAAATCAGGTAGATTAGCAGTCACTCGGAAATTGTTGTTGTGAGTCACTGACACACAACTGCTGTGGGCTGCTCCTTGTCTCCCTTAGTCACGCTGGCTGTGGGCAGCGGTTCGTGCTGCTGCGGGGCTGGGGTCAGCCCTGTGCCCTCTGCCTGGAGGAATGGGGTTTGCCTCTGGGCTGATCCCCCTAATCCCAGCTTCCCTGCTGCAGGAGCAAGTTGGCTTGAGGCATGAACCAAAACTGCAGCTGTGGAGCTCATCTGGTTTGTCTTCAAGCTCCAGCCCTCGGATGGTACCAGGGCACCCTGTGATGGGTGGGTGTGGGGGTCTGCGGTCAGACCTCGGCACCCTTCAGTCCTCTGGCTCCCATTTAAATGCTGGCTGTTAAAGACTGGGTCAGAAATCTTTGCTAGAAGTCACTGCTTTGTCTGCTCCAGGCTTGTTGTTGTGAGCCACCTGCGTGTGCCCAGGACCCTGGAGGTGCCCGTTCACCTGCAAAAACCGAACAACTGGGAAAAGCTCTCGGGAAGCACAGTTCTGTGCTATGGCAGCCAGGCATCGCCTAAAAGGAGCGATGAGCCTGCGGGTGCGTGTGGCAATGAGCTTAGCTCCCGGTGCCAGAACAGGGGGAAGATGTGGAAGGAAAACCTGGATGTCAGGAAGCAGAGAAAGCGAGGGCTGCTCCGCAAAGGGCAGCAGCAGGGGGAGAGGAATTGGCTGCTGCAAGGGGAGGGGGGCAAAGCGAGGCAGGCAGCGGGCTGGGAGTCCCAGCAGTGGGGGAGAGGCAGGGAGAAGCAGGTGGCAGGGCTGTGCTGGCATTAAAGTGCAGGCAGGAGCCCCCCTGCTCGGCCCGGGGCTGCCCGGGAGGCGCAGGTAGAGCCGAGCCCCGAGCCCCCCAGCCCGGGGGGAGGACGCGGCGCCCCGAGCAGCATCCCCCAGCCTCGGAGGACGGGGGGAAGGCGGCCGGGCCCCCGGAGCGGGGCCGTGCGAGCCCTCGCTGGGCCTCGGAGCGGGGCCGGGGCGGGGGCGGCGGCGGGGCCGGGGGCGGACCCGAGGCGGAGCCGGGCGGCGGCGGCGGGCAGGGGCGGCTCGGAGCGGCCGGGCTCGGCTCGTTCGGCTCCTTCCTCGGCGTCTCCGCTGCCCGGCCCCGGCCCGGTATGGCCGCTCGGATGCCGCCCGTCCTCCGCTCCGCCGCGCTGCTGCTGCTGCTGCCGGCGGTGCTGCCGGGCGGCGGGCCCGGCTCGGCGGCGGCATCCCCGGCGGCGGCGGCGGCGTCCCCTCCTCGGGAGCCCCCCGGTCCGTGCCGGGTGAAGACGGTGACGGTGTCCACGCTGCCGGTGCTCCGCGAGAACGATATCAGCTGGAGCGGTGCCCCCCCGCCCGCCGCCGCCGCTGCCTCCGCCGCTTCTTCTGCCGCCGCCGCCGACTCCCGCTTGCTGCTCTTCGTCCGCAGCGAGCTGCCCGGCCGCGTCGCCGTGCAGGACGACCTGGACAACACCGAGCTGCCCTTCTTCACCCTCGGTAGGTGCCCCCGCACCTGCCCCCGAGCCCCCCGCAGCGCCCCCGCGCCGCCCGGAGCCCCCCGTGCCCGGCTTCTCCCCCGGCATCCTCCTCCTCCTGCCCCGCACCCGGCTTCCCGGCGCTGTTTCAGGGCTTTCTGGCGTTGTCCTTGCTGCCTGCTCATTGCTTTTCTTTATAATTATTTTTTTCTGCTGGGGAGGGATTTTTATTTTTTATTTTTTAAGCAGGGCCTGAGCGCTGCTGCCGTTGCCGGTTCGATCTGGGAGCGAAGGCTCGGGGCTGGGAAGTGGTGGGTGCTGCCTCCCCTGCTCCAACTTAGCCGCTGAGCCCTAGAGGAGGTACCACGGCGGCTGGGCGAGCAGCAGGGACTGTGTGTCTCGTACATTTCGACACGCTTTGCCTTCACGCTCCCTCTTGCTTCATGCACAACTCGGGTTCTTGGCTCCGTCGCAGCATGCCTGCAGACTTTCTCTCCCCGTTTCATCTTTTGCGGGGAGGGGGATGGGGCCAGGAATGATTTTGGTGCCGTACTTCGGTCCCCGTGCCCACTCCTGTTGGTGTGGATGGGGTGCCCCAGCTGCACCTCGTCCCCTTCAGCCTTTTGTGTGCCACCAGCCCGGCTCTCCTCAGAGCGAAGTGCTCAGGATTCTGCGTGGAAGGCGGCGTGTTCGCTGTGCCACATCACTGGAGGGCTTTTGTTGATCTCTTCATCCCCTCGCTTGCTTGCGTTTTGGTGTCTGAACCCAGGATGGTTTGAGCACCTGCCTAACTTTGTGTCTGAGATGCTGCATGTTAACACAGCTCGGCTGAGGCTGCCGGCGGCTTGTGCTGCGTGTGGCCGGCACATCGAGGTGCTCTGCGGGCAGGCTGACCCCATGGGCACCCTGCCACGGGGCTGCTCCTGCACCTCCTGGCAGTGACCCCGCTGCTCCCCTGGGTCTGATGTGCCAGGGCAGGAAAATGACTGACTGCATCCCCCAGTCCTTTCCTGCGATGCTTTCCCTCAGCGATTAACCTGTAATAAATAGCTTAATGGTACTTCTCGAGCTGAGCATCATCACGGTTCTAGTTTGCAGTTTGGCTTCCTTAGACACGGTTGGTCAAACAGAAAAATCCCAAACAAACCAGGTAGTCTATTTGAAGCAATAACAGTGGAAACCAGACCTGATGCAGTAGGAATGACATTTACCTTACAGTGATTAAAAGTAACAAGAAGTTTCATGGTTCAGTGCCTTGAATTTTCAGATTAGAGTACAGTTTCTTCAGGGACTGGGTGTGAATTGCGCGCTGCTCTAAATATATCAGAAGGCAGAGAAACCCCTGTGTGTAGTGTAGGTAACAGCTCAAGTTAGAGGAGAGAGATTTGTCTTGATAGATCTGAGACATGATCTTGTAGAGCAAATCCTATTCCTGTGACTGACTGCTGGTGAGGAGACCACGTCTAAAAAAAAATCTCTCTGCCTTGCCTGGGATGTTGGTTACGCACATGCTCCTAAATATGGAGCACATTCCTCGCAGAGCCGTGTTTCTGTGGCTGGGTGCAGGACACCAGCACATTCCCTCCTGCTCCCCTTACCCTGCAGGTGTCGGGCAGGTTGGGAGATAAATGGGAGCTTTGCCTGTGGTGGGATGGCTTCATCAGGGTCCCGAAATTAATCAGGGGGTTGCCTCCAGAGAAAGTAAAGCACTTGTCCTTCCCCAAGGTCTAGCTCATGAATTGCCGTGGATGCTCTGATATTTCAAATTTGTCGCATTTCTTCCCATCTCCTGGAGTGGTAACTGAGCCTCGCTCGCACTTAACTCTTTTCAGGGTGAGCGCTGTGGAGGGTTCCTACTGGCTTGTGTGCTGGCTGTTCTAGGGCAGTAAGTAACGCTGGAGTTTTCTGCTGTCTTTTTTTCCTACTCCATCTTTTTCTAAGTTCAGCAGTGGCTGGGAATCCGAGCGCTGCTGCTGCCTCGTAATGGGCTCTTGGAGGTGAAAATCATGTTACATGTGGGAGATCAGTGGAATTGCTTTGCAGGGACTTGCGGGCAGGGATTGCTTTAAACAGTTGCTTCTCTTTGCCCAAATCTTTGATAGCCTTTATTTCTGATGCTTATGTGTGTTTGTGTGTGGTGCTGAGCATGTTTAGTGGATGTCTGGGCCCGAGCTGCAGGAGCTGTGGAGGAGCTGAGGTCCTGCTGATTTGCAAGTGGGATGAAGGCTCCCAAATGCCTTTGAGTCCGGGTGCTGGCTGCTAGTGAAGCTTCCTGGCTTTGGGGTGAGGACGTGTTAGGGAGCGCTCCTAAAACCCATGCCCCAGGCCAGCTACATTGGCTTGGCATCCTGGAGGGATTTTGGGGGTGGGGAGGAAAAGAAAAGCATAGTAAAGCAGGCGGTGCAGAGCCTTTGCGCTGACGCTCTGGGCTCTGAAGAGAAATTATTTGGGAATAAATTGAGTTCTGGGGTGGCTGCTGGAGGACAGCAGGTCGGGCACTGCCTCTCCCCTGCTCCCCAGCCTGCTGCCTGCCCCTCCTGCTCCCTCTGCGGGGCTCAAAAGCCTTTCCAGGCCAGGAAGCGTGAAATAAAACCTCGGCTGGTTGTTGGTGATGGGTTTATTTAAGCACTGGGGCCGAGGGACGTGGTCTGTGGTCCTGTGGCTGGCTGCTCAGCAATTCCCTGCCTGGGGTGGCTCCTGAGCATCACATCCCTCCTGTGCATTGAAGGAGGATGGGGGATCTGTAGCTGAAGGCTGGCTGGTGCCAGAGCCTTGTCTGTAGCTGTGTGAAACTTCTGCTTTTTTTTTTTTTTAAGGGCAGATCAAGTTAAAATGGGCTAAGGAAACAGATGCTTCGAGTCGGTGGCTGGTACAAAGCGCGTGCAGCGCTCTGCATCCCTCGTCTTTAAAGGAGCCCTTCTAGGTGGGAGGCAACTTTTTCTGCTCCCTGCCAATCTGAGATGTGACACATTGTGGATGATGAGCCTGAAACCTCGCCAAGAGCCTAAATCTCTCCCCAAAATGGCTGGGGGCACCCCCTGCAGCTGGGCAGAGCCACAGGTAGGAGCCCACTAGGGGGTGGTGGGAGCCTGGAGATGCTCAGCTGCTGGCTGCAGGTGTGTGGGCACCGAGGGAGCCTCCTGCCCTCGGTGGAGTTGGGAAACTTCATCTCCTTCATCTCCTTCTCGCATCCCTCCCTGGCTGCAGCAGGGGAGCTGCAGCTGAGATGCCTGTGGGCAGCTGGAGTTAGCTCAGTGTCCCCTCTCCAGCAGGGCGTCTCGCTGTCTGCGCTTCCCAAGCCTCGTTTTGCTTCCTTTATCTCTGTCTTCGGAGACAAGAAGGATGTTTCTCCCCTTACCCCACGATTACATTACTTGAAAATTACACAGCAAAGCACGGTGATGGCAGGAAATGACAAATGTAACTTCGCCACCAGTGCATTATGAATTGCTGTGCATCCCCTTTCCTGAAAAAGCACCCTGCCCTTTCCTTAACCTTGGATACAACTGATGCTTTGCGGTATTTTTTTTTTCCCCTAACTCTTCTAGTGTTACACTGGCAAATGGAGCAGCCTATCATTGACTTTATTCTTATACAATGAGGTCTCTCTAAGGTATGTGTCTTGATTTAGTCAGCAGCCATGTGTTCTGTACAATAGCTGCTCCACGAGCAGCGTAGCCTGCTTTAAGTGCAATTCAGGGAACGAAGCAGTTAGCTTCAGAGCTAATTTGGCTGAGCTCTGTCTGTGTGTGTGTGCAGATATATATAGAGAGAGGGGAGAGGAAGAGGCAGAGAGAATTTTACCACTGCTCTTAGCCGGTAGTGGCTTACATAAGAACAGTTTACTACACGCTTCTGCTAAATGGCTCTAATGGATGCTGTTTGACTGGTGTCTGCAGCGCTTTGTTCCTGGGGCTGGCGGAGAGGTGCTCGTGCCTCTGCATTGCCGGTGTCTCGCCGTGGCCCCTCTGCGTGCAGCCTGTCCCCGTCCCTGGAGCTGTGCAGCTCCCCCATCTCCCCGGTGCTTTTGTGCTGCTGCTCCTCTTCTCCTCTCTTAACTTTTCTTGAAGCCATCTTGGAGCTTGAACTTCTTTTCCTCGCTAGGATGAGAATGCATTAAAGTAATGGAAAACACTTAGTCCCCTGCAGATTGTTTGAATTCACTGTGTTTTTTTTTCCCCTGAAAATACATGAGCAGGGTTTTGCTGCTTGCTTTTGTCAACATCTCCTGGCTTTGCAGAGCCTGGGGGGAGAGGCCGAGGGTTGGCCTGGAAACCCTGGTGAGATCGGAGCTTGCTGGTGGTGCTTTAAGCAGCGCTGCTCTTCCTGGCTCTTGCCTTTCTTTGAGCTGGTCTGTGGGGTCTTGAGCAGGGTCGTGTGGGTGGCAAAGGGATGATGTTCCCAGCTTGAGGCTCTTGTGATGCTCTGGCTTCCCCTAAGCAGCAGAGCTCAGCTCTCCAGGGCACGGCTTCAGCAAAGTGGGTCCTCTCTGTGCGGCAGAGGTGGGTGAGGTTTGGATAACTCCTGTTTCTGCTAACCGCCTCCTGCTGGACTTGAAGACTTGCACAGCACTTTGGGCAGAGATTGGGTCAATTAAGATTTTTTTCTTTTATTGCAGTGCCTGGGGTCCGGGTCAGGTCTGCATCAGTGGGGACAAACTGGGGAGGGTGGTGGCATCACAGCAAGAGGAAGGGGTAACAAATGCCACAAGCACCGTGCTGCACAAGTTGTTGGAGGGTGTGGGGGGAAGATCCAGCAGTGCTCAGGAGCCTTTGAAAGGGGGCTGGGACCCCAAATGGGGTGTGTGGGGCTGCAGGCACCGCAGGGATGTGAAGCTGCTGGCCTGGGAATCCGTCAGGGCTGGCAGGAGGTTGGGATGGGTCCTGCGGGGAAATCTGGTGCCTGCTGGCTCTGATGTGTTGCTGCCCGGGGAGCTGAGCCAGGTCCCTGGGGGAAAGGAAGGGCAGCACCAAGAGCCAGAACGGCCCCGCTGGGGTTGTAGCAGCGATGTGGGTCCTGAGC